ATCTAAGTACTCCTTCGCATTTGCTACAGCGGTAAAGCGGGGACGCTCAGATAGGGGGAGGGCGTGATTAATGGCAAGCTGTGACTCCTAGACAGTGCGGGCAAGCTCAGCAGCGGCAAAGGCCTCACGCTCTGTAGACGTGGGGTTGTCAGGGAGGGCAGCAGGTGCGGCGGGGCAGGGGAGCTTACCGTCGATATGGACGGCCAAGGAGTAGGCGTCCTGGCGCTGACCGGCTAGCTGGCGGCGGAGGTCGACGAGCTATGCCTCAAAATCAACTGCCCGATCCTCCGCATCCAGGCGGAGCACAATGTCCGCCATCACCACGGCTGCAGCAGCTGAATGCTGCTGGAGGGGGAGGGGAGCGTTGGAGAGCGGTGGAGGGCGGTGGAGAGCGGTGGAGAGCGGTGGAGTGCGGTGAAGACGGCCGGCGGGAGCGTCGATGCCAAGGGGAAGCCAAGGCCGGCAGGTCGGCCTTGTAGTGCAGCGATGCGGCGACTCGGAGGCTCGGCGGCTCGGCGGTGCAGCGGCGCGGCGGATCGGCAGCTCGGCGGCGCGGCGACTCGGCGGCTCGGCGGTGCGGCGCGGCTAGGGCCGGCAGCGACCAGGGCAGGCGCGGACGGGGACCGGGGGTGGCAGGGGCCGGCGAGCAAAGGCCGTCTAGAGCTGGGGCCGTTGCGAACTGGGGCCGACGAGCAGGGGTCGGCAAGCAGAGGCCGGCGAGCAGAGGCCGACGAGCACGGGCTGGTGTGTAGGGGCCGACGCGCGGGCCGACGAGCAGCAGGCCAGTGGGCGAGCGCGGGGCTTGTCGGCGAGAGGCGGTCAGTGGACGGGCGGCTACGGGCGACCAACGTTGACAGGCGGCTACGGGCGGCACGAGGCAACGGGGGGCCAACGGCGGTGAGCGGCGAACAGCTAGCAGCTGCGGCTCGCGACGGGCGGCTAGGAACGGGCGGTTAGCGGCGAACGGCTAGGGCTAGGTCTAGGACCAGGGCGGAAGCGCGGGTGGGCGGGGAGTACCTAACCTAGCGTGATACCATCTCAAAGTAACAGAATGAACTAGAATGAGTGATACAGGGTGGTTTTGTCCTAAGGTTTTTGTACTCTCTATGAGCATGCACTATCTAGCCTATAGCATATACAAATATATGTTGACACATACCGTAATCTCCCGGCATGATTACCCCCCCGAAAAAGGGACTCTAGGTCTTTTTTCCGGACCATGGGTCTTAATATCGTAAAGGGATTGTGAGGACCCGTTGTTTGGGGTAAATCATTTGAGGACCCCCCCCCCCCCTTCAGTTTTAAATGGTTTTCATGGCAGTTTTTGCGCAATTTCAAAATTCGTCATGCACTACAAAGTCAACTTCCACATCATTAGTTAGGACGGTCCTACCGGTACCGGTACTATTGCTTCATGCCAATTGCATCCTACCTACACTACATACTGCCTTAGGGAGTCCTAGGCACTGCACATCCACGGCAGCACACCTCATGTTAGACCAACTCATCGAACCTACTGATACGGTACACATCCATCGAACTGCTACTAGCTACCACTACTGAAGGGACTCAATGTCCCAGGCTCTGTTGACGTCCACCTCGCCATGGGAACTCCAAGACTCAGTTGTTGAGGCCTCTTCGTCTGCCGCTGCTGATGCCGCTTCTGCCGCTGCTTCTGCCGATGTTGCTGCCGCTGCTGCTGCTGCCTCCTCTGCCTCTTCCTCCTCCTCCTCAACCATCTGCCCATCCCCTCCTCCTCGCCTCCCTCCCCCTCGTCTTCCTGCTTGGTCTCCGCGTAGAGTGGATTGATCCACTCTTCCACAGCCCCGGCAGCATGCACGTCATTGTGCACTTCGACTTGGGCAGCGTCGCGCATGTGAGCAAGGACCAAGTGGTCCTCGCTCCCGTCGAGGTTGTTGCTGATGCCGCACGTTTTGAACGCGCGGACAATGATGTCCTCGGGGACAAGGTCCCAGGAGTTCCAGATCCAGCGCAGGGCCAACTCTGGCGGCGGCTTCCTCAGATTGCCTGCTCAAGTAAGCAATCAAGAGGAAGACAGAGAGGTGAGATTCCTGAATTGTGAGTTAAACAGGGCAGGCACTCACATACCAGCAAACATGAGAGAGGCTCACCAACGGGCGTCAGCAGGTCAATGCCTTCTGTGGCAAACCAGTCGTTGTAGAACCGCCGGACGCCCGCCTTGAAGGCGCGGTTGATGACGACGTCAAGCGGCTGCAGCAGGGGTGTGCAGCCGCCAGGGATGATTGCGGGGGTGATCTTGTGCCACCTGAAGGAGCCAAGCACGCCGTCCGTCAGGTGCCCACGGTAGGAGTCCAGGACAAGCAGTGTCTTGCTCCTCGAGACACCTGTGGGGGGGCGGATGAAGGGCAGCAACACGTGCTGCACCCAATCTTGCACGAGGCCTCCATCCATCCAGCCTCGCTCCTGGGCTCGGATGAGGAGACCTGCACAGTAATGCACGCACACTGTTAGGAATAATAAGGGGGAAACAGCTAGGGAGACAAAATAGGCTGTCATGAAGCAAAACTCACCAGGTGGTGCTCGAATATTAGGGATCGTCTTCCTTTTGAAGATGACCATGGGAGGCAGTTTCCGGCCGTCCGTTGTCACCGCCAACATCACCGTCACCCTCTCCTTCTCATACCCGGCGCTCCGAATCTGTACAGTCCGATCCCCCCGATGGTGAAGTGTGCGCTCGAAAGGCATCTCCAGGAACACTGGAGTTTGATCTGCATTGATCATGTTCCATGGGTCGATGCCGCTCTCCAGCACCTGTTTCCGGACGAAGCGCCAAAAGCTTTCGCTCTTTGGCTTGCAATCTACCAGTGGAAACAAAAAATACGCGGAAGAGTAAGGTAGGGGTGAATACGCCATGTTATTCCACGACCATACGGCATGCAGTGGGAATAAAAAACATTCTACAACACTCGGCGCGAATGAGAGAGGTCGGCTTACCGCGGATCAAACGCTGACCAATCTTGGTCTTGACTCGCACGGTGAGACCCCAGCGAACGCGAAACCTGAAGGTCCAATGAGGTGAGGCCCTCCAGTCCACCTCGGGATGATGAGTCTTCATGAACTGCCGGCTCCAAACCTGAAGGAGGGAAATCGGGACTGCAAGGCCACGGGAGCGGTGGCTCAGGAACTTTCTATAGACAGCCTGCTCCATGTCGGGGTGCCTCGACGGTCGCCCTGCGCCCACAAGCCTACACCTGGAGCCCGAGGCGTGCGTCATGTCCTCTTCCTTCTTCAGCCAGCGCCGAATGCTCACCGGCTCGACACCCGCTTCCCGCGCCACCCGTCGAATGGTCAGCCCCTGGTCGTGCATCTTGTGCAGCCAGCCGATTTTCTCGGCCATGGTGCGCGATGTGCGGCGGTGCTTTGTCCTCCTGGCGCGAGACTCTGGTGCACATGCGTCAAGTGGACGCCGAGCCTCGGTGTCGTGACGCAGAATGTCTGGCGGGAATTGAGGGACGGGGAAGGAGGGACGAGGGGATTCGTCTGCGTTGGGCACACGCTCACGGGGGTGAGGTCCTCGTCATTTGTTGGCTCCCAAAAGCCAGCAAACGCAGGCGATGGCGCAGGAGGAGCCGGAGGAGCAGGAGGCCTTGGCGGCGCGGGAGGCGCGGGGGGATCAGGCGGCGCAGGTGGCGCTGGAGGTGCGGGCGGTGAAGGTGCTGCTGAAAAGCTGGACGGTCTGCTGTGCGAACGGGTGTGCCTACATACGCGATTCTGCATGAGCATTTGCAGAGCCGACATGGCTGTTGCTTGGAAAAATCCCACACTTAGCGGAGAGAGAGGGGAGAGATGCCATTTCCTAGAACATCAAGCTTGCTAAAAACCCTTGTTGAAAAACAGGAAATGAGACTTGTCGCAGCGACTACCCCTCTGTGAAGACGGAAAAGAGAGGGACGTGAGGCGGAGCGAGACACGACGATGGAGGGAGTCATGCCTGCCTGACACAAGAAACCTCTCAATGGGGTGGACCGTGGGGAGACTTCGTGACCGAACCTCTCCCCTCCATGTAATGACTCTTGCTGGCAGTCAAGAAGCCCGCGCGATTCGCCAGCGCTGTAAAGTTGGCAGCCGTCGATGCTAAGAATCCGACGCGTGTCCATCTAGATGGCTCGGACAAAACGAGGCTAAGAATATACTTCCCCCGTTTGAAACAAAGGACCCCCTGTATAACCTCAATTGGAATACCAAAACATGTGACAAACAAACACCTTACGTAATAAATAACAGCACATGGGTCTTATTAATTACCATCCTTTAAAATGTCCACCCAAACGATTTTCAATGAATTTTCCATAAGACCTAGGGTCATCATGCCGGGAGATTACGGTAGTCTTCCTGAAGTTGGTTGGAACTTAATAGAAGTAATGTGATACCTGAAATAGAGGACGCAATTTAGCGAATGTTGAAGGATGCAAATGTTAGTAGTAGTGAGTGAGAAACTGAACAGTAGATCTATACAAAGACTATCGCGTGCATCACCTGAAGGGTCCACTTGATCGGTCACGCGAATTGTGAAATTCGTATACTTGAACACATAGTTACTGTACGAATATGTACAATCAAAGAAGCACTTATGAGACTGTAAATAGCCCAATATATTTCATAAATGTTGTGCTTATCGTTCCTGTTATTACTTGTACAGATCTTCCATGGACATGATGCTTTAAGGTTCCACCGATTCTAGATCCTCACCCCTTTTTAGTAATTTAGTTGCTCCACGTCCCTCCCCCTCTCCCCCCACCGAACTCCTCCTAACCTCCCCAAACTTCAGTTTTCATGAGGTCTTCACTCCAAATGCCAACAAATTAGAAAGAGCGTGCTCCCTAATGTTTGGTGTAAAACATGTTTTATTTTGAGAATGAGTATGAGTTTATTGCACATAAACAGCTCAAACCTACGGTGTTGTCAGCTGGTGGTTCCATACGTTGCAGCTCAAACGGATGTTTGCCTCACACGTTCTCCCGTGTGTCAGAAGACCACCTAAGGGCCTACCTAAGTTCTGTGTCTGACAGCGCATATGTGTGCGCTTACAAAATAGCTTAGCTTCGCCGAGGGAACAGTGCCGGCTCGGTATTTTAGCAGTAGGCATGTCGCCTGACAGCAGGTTCCGTCGAGAATGCGTTCCCATGAAATCCTTCGCAACCCTTATCAAGGTTGTTTCCGTCTGCTGCCTTTTGTCAACTGGGACACGTGGCGAGGGTTCGGTTGGGAGTCGCGAGCGTCCGTCATTTCACGTGAAATTCCCGCGAAAGCCGAAGAGCGAAGCTCGCGCTGCAGAAGCGAATGAGTCTATAGCGAATCAAACGCTGACTCTTGGCGTGCTCACAGCAGATGACTTGGCGCAAGGCCTGTCGATACGATCAGGTGCGACACTCTCACTGTGCGACACTCACGTTCATGTTGTGCGACACTCTCCTTCGCACCGTGCGACGTTCCCACTGTCTCTGCGCGTCACTCTCGTTCTCTTGTTGTTGCCTCCTCTTGTTGTTGCCTCCTCTTGTTGTTGCCTCCTCTTGTTGTTGCCTCCTTTGTGCTCCTCGAATCCAATCCCTTGGTTGAGCCGCGACCTTCTCTCCCGCACAGAGCATTTCCTCAATTCCTGGCGACAGTTTCTTCATCTCCGGCACAGGGCGTTCCTAACAACACACGCATCCTCTCCCGCACAGGGCGTTTCGTCGATTCCTAACAGCCGTTTCATCAACAGTTTCATCAACAGTTTCATTAACAGTTTCATCCTCTCCTGCACATCTCGCCTGCATTCTCCTCTCACTAATAACCATTTTGCAGTTTCTCCCCGGCACTAATCTCCATGCATGTCTTTTGAGTCGACTCAGAAGTCAGCTCTCCCTGCACATCTCGCCTGCATCCTATTCTCACTGATAACCATTCGGCGGTTTCTCCCCGTCACAAATCTCCAGGCATGAGCGAAGATAGCAAATCTTGTAACCAAACAGAAGAAAATCTTGCCACGAGCTCCCCCTCTCTCTCACACCGTCGCATCGCATGCCCTTTCATTCGCATGCGTTATCCCAACCTTTCCTCTTTCTCTCGCTGTTGTCCAATCACAGCCATCCAGCTGGCGTATGAAGAGGTGCTGGCGGACCCATCTCTCTCTTTCCCCTATCCATTGAAGCTGGCGTTTGGAAACGCGGCCAGCACGCGGTTCCAGGCACAGGCCACAGGTAAGTAGCCGTTGTCAGAGGGATGCTTATCAATGAAAGATCAATGCCAGCTCTTGGCAGTCTGAAGCTGGCGTTTGGAAACGCGGCCAGCACGCGGTTCCAGGCACGGGCCGCAGGTACCGAGCCCTTGACAAGGGGATTGCCCTTCATTGGCTGATGTTTGTTCCCCTGACGAATTGATGCTCACGCCGTGACTTTTGAGTCGACTCAAAAGACCCCAGGCACAGGCCGCAGGTACTGAGCCCTTGACAAGGGGACTGTCCTTCATCGGCTGATGTTCCTTCCCCTTACCAATCGCTCCAGGCACAGGCATCAGGTAAGTAGCCAGATTCAGGCACAAGAGGGCAGAAACTAAAAAGCTTCCGATTCTCTTCGGCAGTCTCCACGCGATAATAGCTCTCCTTGAAGCGAAAGTGTCGTGTGACAAAGTAACGAGGTGACTTTTGAGTCGACTCAAAAGTTTCCCCAAGTGTGAACGGTCAACCAGAGGGTTGAGCAAACATTTCAACACGAGGGGCCCACGTTTAGGAGAGTCGCGAATTGAAGAGGCGCGAGCGAGAAGTTCGTTGCGAGAGGCGAAAGAGACTGACTTGAAGATTGGTAGCAGAAATTTCTCACGATACCCTCTGGCTCTTAGTCGAGCGAAGAAAAGGGCCCTAGAATGCAGGAAGTCAGCCCGTGATGAAGACCGCAGTAGGAATCTGTGCAGTTCGCTCCAGATGAAACCAAGTTTGGTAGTCCGGGAATGATAAGACTTGAAGGGTAAGTACAGATACCGATTCATCGGCTTCTGAAACAGCTTGACATCCAAAACCCCGGAGTTCGTGAAACGTTCTCCTTTGAAGAAAGTAACGTCCAGGAAATCCATCGATGTTTCAGACAACACCCATGTCAGGCGAATTGAAAGATGAAGTGTGTCGAAACGCGCTTTTAGCCGTTGAAAATCTTCCTTAGACCCATCCCACAAAATCAGACCGTCGTCGATAAAACGGAGGTGTAGAGCGGGGGAAGAAGGGATCGAACGGTGCAGCTGAATATCCAAGAAACTCATGAAAAGGACCGAGAAGCAAACTGCGACTGAAGTCCCCATAGCGGTTCCGTGGATTTGGCGGAAAAATCTCCCGTTGAAAGAAACATAGCTGTTAAACATCACCCACTTCAGCAGGCGAATAATCAGTGGAGCTAGTGGATGTCTAGCCCTTTGAAGAAAATAGGAAACTGCATCAATCCCATCGAGCAGGGGAATCGACGGATATAAAGATTCCACGTCGTAGGATGCGAGAAGAAGATTGTTAGAAAAACGCCGTTGCTCAAGCTGTAGTACCAGACTCTGTGAGTCTTTGACATAAGTGGACTGCTGTAGTACCAAAGGTCGAAGTACTGCATCCAGCCAGCGTGAAACATTCGACGTCACCCAGGAATGAGATGCCGCAATAGGACGACCAACTGGGATTTTCTTATGGATCTTCAAAAAGACATAGAACGCCGGAATCTTCCATCCGTTCTTAGGAGCTTTATAGAAAGAAATCCATATCTTCTTGGAAAGTAGGGGGTAAAAATCCTCGTGAATTGCGCGGAGTTCGTGCACGATGTCGTCGACGGGCACAGCAGAATATTCTCTGTAGACTTTCGGATTCAAAAGATGCTGTAGACATTTCTCTTGATAGAAGTCTTTACTCATCACTGTCAAGCCGAGATTTTTATCTGCAGGTTTGAAAATAAGATTCGGATTGGAAGCAAGCCGTCGGAGTGTAGGGAAGACGCTTTTCCGGATTCTGGAGCGAAAAGTCTGATCAGCAACGCTTCTGACGACCGAGTCTCTGAAAACCGCTAGGGCCGTCTCGATCTCGGAAGAAGTCGGAGGTGGGATCCAGTTAACTCGTCTGGGAAGTTTATAACGTGGATAATCAGAAACAATATCAGCTCCTCCAAAAAGATACATCGTACGAACACTGCTCATGAAAGCCTGCAGCTCGGTATCGAAACTAGAAATGGTGCGAATGGGTGGGTTTGGTATGAACTTGAGTCCTAAACTAAGCAGTTGTAACTCATCACGGGTGAAGACATGGTCACTGAAGTTATGGAAGCCACGGTTGGTAACTCTGCAGCGCAGCTGACTCTCGGTCTTCCTCCCAAAGAGGATCAGCGCGTATGCGTGGACATCGTCCACTACTGCTGCTTCGTTTTTCCGCGGCCGGAACCTCCCCCGTTTTTTGCCGGTGCAGAATTGCGCGGCTGCTGACGAGAGGCGTTACGTCTCGCTGTCTTCGCGAAGGAGCGTCCCATAGTCTGGGTCGCATGCGTCGTCGCGTTGTCAGCGTTCTTCCGGGGACCAGTATTATTCTTCTTCATATTCCCTTTGTTGTTGCCGTTGCTGTTGCCTTTACCCTTCCGGGGCTGGTTCTTCTTCTTAGCGGCAGCGCTACGGTTGACATTAAAACCCCCCTGAGTCTTCTTTTCGCGTTTACCATACTGCTGCTTCTTCTTGCCGTCAGACCGTTTGGACAAAGCCTTCTCGACTTCTTGCTTAGCGATCTTCCGAACAGAATCGTCGACGGGGAGATTCTCTGCTTCCTCCACCGCGGCAGCCTTCTTTTCGTCGACTTCTTTCTTCTTCTCCTTAAGATGCACTTCAGAGAGGTTAGCGTCCATGACAAAAATAGACATCGATTCCTTAAATTCAGCGATCACCCGATCCTTGAAATAGTTCAGGTGCTTCGTCAGCTTTGAATTTTTGGTGCCGATGTCGGTCTTCTTAGCCAGATTAATGTAGCTCGTAATTTGATCCTGCAGCCGCTGAAAAACGGCCACTGCTTCGTTACGAGCTTCATCGGCGGCTTTCTTTTTCATGGAGATAAGAATGTCTTGGGCTGCTTTGCAGTACGTATCACAGGCCGCGACCAGGTCCTTGTCAGCCTCCTGACGGAGTTCTTCAGAGTTGCAAATGAAACCAAAAGGTTTGATCCTGATGCTGTGAGGAATAATCCCGTTGGTCTTCTGCTCAGCCATGAAGATATATTGCTGGTGCAAAGTCCGGTACTTCAAAAAACTCTTCTTAAAGTCCTTAGCGGCTTAAAGTCATTGAGACAAGAGGGAGTCGCCTGCTTGTCAAGAAAATCGTTATGAAGATCACCAAGAAAATCGAAGGAGTCAGTCATGACAACGTCATGAATCTCGCGAACAGGATCTTGCATCGGCGCAGCCATGATCGCAGTTTCAATCGTAGGCCTGGTGGCAGGCTCAGGAGAAGATCGAGCTGCAGGAGCGTCGACTGTCCCTGGAAGAGGTTCGAGAGGAAAATCCCGAGCTCTCTTCTTGTTGGAGCGAGAAATTGGAGACTCTAGTAAATCTTCGAAATCCACTAGCTCTTTATCCTTACGAAGACGCCTCGGGCTTTGAATCCTCGAGATTCGTGCGGATCGACGGAACTGGTTAGACTTGGTGATATTGGTGTTGGTGTCAGTGTCGGTTGCATTGGTAGCATTGAATTGGTAGTTGGCCATCGTAGTAGTATCAGGTTTGAGTCCAATCGAACACCAGATAGGTGCCATTGTGTCAATACGTGGCAGCAACTTGTGTGATGACACCTGTGTAAAATGTAGAGTGCTTGTAAAAACAAAATCTTGGAATTAAAAATAGGTGGTAACCGGTTTCGGCTTGAAGCCTTCTTCAGACCACAGAGTCCTAAAGAAAAAACAAGCACTACTTATACGTCGAAAAGATGTCGCCCAAGATTCGCCTCGCGCGGGAAAAACGTCGCGGGGAAAATGGGGACGCAAAAAACGAAATAAGCACAAACAGTAAAACTCTACTGTAGATTAGCACTTATGAGCAGAAACTAAAAAGCTTCCGATTCTCTTCGGCAGTCTCCACGCGATAATAGCTCTCCTTGAAGCGAAAGTGTCGTGTGACAAAGTAACGAGGTGACTTTTGAGTCGACTCAAAAGTCACCTCCTCCTGTGCCCGCCTGTGCCCTCCTGTGCCCGCCTTTTTCCTCTTGTGCCCTCCTGTGCCCTCCTGTGCCCTCCTGTGCCCTCCTGTGCCCTCGTGTGCCCTCGTGTGCCCTCCTGTGCCCTCCTGTGCCCTCCTGTGCCCTCCTGTGCCCTCCTGTGCCCTCTTGTGCCCTCCTGTGCCCTCCTGTGCCCTCCTGTGCCCTCCTGTGCCCTCCTGTGCCCTCCTGTGCCCTCCTGTGCCCACCTTTGTCCTCCTGTGCCCTGGTGTGCCCTGGTGTGCCCTCGTGTGTCCTCCTGTGCCCTGGTGTGCCCTCCTGTGCCCTCGTGTGTCCTCCTGTGCCCTGGTGTGCCCTGGTGTGCCCTCGTGTGTCCTCCTGTGCCCTGGTGTGCCCTCCTGTGCCCTCGTGTGCCCTCCTGTGCCCTGGTGTGCCCTCCTGTGCCCTCCTGTGTCCTCCTGTGCCCTGGTGTGCCCTCCTGTGCCCTGGTGTGCCCTCCTGTGCCCTGGTGTGCCCTCCTGTGCCCTCCTGTGTCCTCCTGTGCCCTGGTGTGCCCTCCTGTGCCCTCGTGTGTCCTCCTGTGCCCTGGTGTGCCCTGGTGTGCCCTCGTGTGTCCTCCTGTGCCCTGGTGTGCCCTCCTGTGCCCTGGTGTGCCCTCCTGTGCCCTGGTGTGCCCTCCTGTGCCCTCCTGTGTCCTCCTGTGCCCTGGTGTGCCCTCCTGTGCCCTCGTGTGTCCTCCTGTGCCCTGGTGTGCCCTCCTGTGCCCTCGTGTGCCCTCCTGTGCCCTGGTGTGCCCTCCTGTGCCCTCGTGTGTCCTCCTGTGCCCTGGTGTGCCCTCCTGTGCCCTCCTGTGCCCTCCTGTGCCCTCCTGTGTCCTCCTGTGCCCTGGTGTGCCCTCCTGTGCCCTCCTGTGCCCTCCTGTGCCCGCCTTTTTCCTCCTGTACCCTCCTGTGCCCTGCTATCCATCCATCAGCTGTGGAGGTGATGCTCGACAAAGCCCTGCTGCTGCTGGTGGGGCCGCAATTCTCCTCGCCGGCGCACAGCATTATTGATCCCTGCCCCCCCGTGTTTTCCATTCCACTGCCTTGTTTCCGCTGTAACTCCCTGTGCTGTGCCGTGCCCTACTATTCCCCCCTCAGCCCTGGAGGTGCTGCTCGACAACGCCCTGCTGCTTGTTGGGCCGCATTTTTCCTCCCAGGCGCACAGCATCATCGACCTGTGTGCCCCCCTGCGTTTCCATTCCACTCCCTGCCTTGTTTCCACTGTAACGGTTTTGAGGCGCCTCAAAACTACACTCCCTGCCTCGTTTCCACTGTAACAATTTTGAGGCGCCTCAAAACTACACTCCCTGCCTTGTTTCCACTGTAACGCCCTGTGCTGTGCGCCCTCCTATCCCCCCCTCAACCCTGGAGGTGCTGCTCGACAACGCCCTGCTGCTGGTGGCGCCTCAGGCTGCAATTCTCCTCCCCGGCACACAGCATCATTGACCCCGTGCCCCCCGCTGTTTCCATTCTGACACGTCTCAACTCAAAACTGCCTCGTTTCCTTGGTATCGCTCTGTGCTGTGCGCCCTCCTATTCCCCCCTCAGCCCTGGAGGTGCTGCTCGACAACGCCCTGCTGCTGGTGGGGCCGCAGTTCTCCTCGCAGGCGCACAGCATCATCGACCTGTGCCGAGACTACCAGGTATACAGTACGAAGCGATATATGTTTTGAAATTCGAGGTGATAGAAGTTACACTGTAGTGTCGTGTCATGTCATCTCACTGGTGTGCTGGCAGGCAGGCAGGCAGGCGGGCGGGCGGGCGGGCGAGCGAGCGGGCGGGCGGGCGGGTAGGCAGGCAGGTAGGCATGTCGCTTATTCTGGCACCAGTTGCTGAGCAGCCAGCCGGGTGCCTTCTCTCTGTTCCATCTCCCCTCCCCCCTCTCTAGGCGCCCTGGCTGAGCTATTCCGCCATGGAACCCACGTTCTCGTCCAAGGGCCAGTTCCCCTTGTTTGCATCCTGACACTTATCAAACTGCAGCATCTACACACCTGTTTGTGGTCACTCGCACTTCCCTCTCCCCCTCCAGGTGCCCATGCTGAGCTACTCGGCAACGGACCCCACGTTCTCGTCCAAGGGCCAGTTCCCGTTCTTTGTGCGCCTGAGCCACAGCGACCAGATGGAGATGGAGGTGGTGGCTGGTGAGCGCGGATGGGGGGTGGTGGGGTGTCGGGTTGACATGAGATGAGTTGTTGTGTGCTGAGCCACAGCGGCCAGATGGAGATGGAGGTGATGGCTGGTGAGAGCGGATGGGGTGATGGGTGGATGGATGATGGGCGGATAGCAGGATGATGGCAGGATGTTGGATGGATGATGGGCTGTGGTGATGCTGCTGTTTCCGTGGCTCGGAGCCAATGCGACCGGATGGGGATGGAGGCGGTTGCTGGTGGGATGGAGGCGGCATGAGGTGCAGCTTGCTCTATATGATGGTGGAATGATGCTACCAGTCTCAACCTTTCATGACCCCTCATTCGTCCCCTGCTCTCCCCTTCTCCTCCCTCCTCTAAACCTCCCTCCCCTCCTCCCTCCTTCCCCTTAAACCTACTTGAGTACTGGAACTGCCAACCCCCAAACCGACCACCCAAACCCCTCCCCCTTCATCCCCCCCCCCCCCTTCCCTCCCCCCCCCAAAACCGGCCACAGACCTGTTGGAGTACTACGACTGGCACCAGGCCATCATGATCTTCTCGACTATGGCTGCCCTCCTCTCTCCCCTTCCCTCCTCGCTCCCTCCCTCCCTTCAGACCTGTTGGAGTACTACGACTGGCACCAGGCCATCATGATCTTCTCAGACGACGAGTTTGGGCACAATGGCATGGACTCTCTGACCAACATCCTCATGGCCAAGGTAGCATGCACTTGCATGCACGGCATGGCATGGCATGGGATTGGATGGCATGGCATGGCATGGTATGGTATGGCATGGCATGATATGGCATGGCATGGTATGGCACGGCGTGGTATGGTACGGCATGGGATGGCATGGCACTGGTTGTTGAGTGGAGTTTGGGCACAACAGCATGGACTAGCTCACCATCGTCCTCATGGCCAAGGTGGCATGCTGTTGGGTATCGAGTGTGTTGAAATGACATGGTATGGCATGGCATGGCATGGCGTGGCATGGCGTGGCATTGAGTGGAGTTTGGGCACACCGGGATGGACTCCCACACCAACATCCTCATGGCCAAGGTAGCATGCTAATGCATGCATGGCATGGTATGGCACGGCATGGTAATGAGTGGAGTTTGGGTACAATGGGATGGACTCCGTCACCAGCATTCTCATAGTATCACGTGGTATGTCATGGCATGGCATGGCGTGGCATGGTATGGCATGGCATGGCATGGCATGGCATGGCATGGCATGGCTCCTTGGCATGGTATCACCTCGGTGGCATGCTTCTCCACTCGCCCTCTCTCCGTCCCTCATCCCCCACCACACCTGTCCGCATCCCTCCCCCGCACACTGCCAGTCCCAGCAGTTCTCGCTGTGGTTCCCCAACAAGGCACCCCTGAACCCGCACGCCTCCCATCCCTTTTTTTTGAAGTCCATCCCATTCACCCCTGCCCTTTCCTGCCTCAGTCCTAGCAGATGCCCGCTGCTGCACCCGCGCGCCTCCCCATGCCTTACTACTCCCATCCCTTTCTCTTCGATGTCCGTGCTTTCCCTGCCCCTCCTGCCAGTCCCTCCCAGCACCCCCCCTGCAGTTCCCCACCCAGGTGCCTCTGCTCCCGCATGCCCCTCCCCATCTACCATATCCTCATCCCTTTCCCTTTTATGCCCGTTCTGCTCCTGCCTATCCCTGCCCATCCCTGCCCATCCCTGCCCATCCCTGCCCATCCCTGCCCATCCCTGCCCGTCCCTGCCCCTCCCCTGCCCATCCCCTGCCCCATCCCTGGCCCATCCCTGCCCCATCCCTGCCCAATCCCTGCCCCATCCCTGCCCCATCCCTGCCCCATCCATGCCCCATCCCTGCCCCATCCCTGCCCCTCCCCTGCCCCTCCCCTGGCCCTCCCCTGCACGCACTGCCAGTCCCAGCAGCTGCCCCTGCAGTTCTCCAACAAGGTGCCTCTGGACCCGCGGGCCTCCCAAGAGGGCATCAATGTAACCATCCCTTTCCCATGCCTGTCCATCCCACTTGTTTCCCCATCCCTCCCCCGCGCACTGCCAGTCCCAGCAGCTGCCGCTGCAGTTCTCCAACACGGTTCCTCTGGGCGCGTGTGCCTCTCACCATCGGTACCCCTATCCCGTTTCCATCTCTGTCCAGCCCCCATCCCCGCCCAACCCTGCCCCGTGCCACAACAGTCCCAGCAGCTGCCGCTGCAGTTCTCCAACAAGGTGGCTCTGGACCCGCAGGCCTCTCACCATCGGTACCCCTACCCGTTTCCATCTCTGTCCAACCCCCATCCCTGCCCCATCCCTGCCCCATCCCTGCCCCATCCCTGCCCCGCGCACTGCCAGTCCCAACAGCTGCCGCTGCAGTTCTCCAACAAGGTGCCATTGGACCCGCGTGCCTCCCCACCGTCCACATCTCAAACCCTTTCCCTTGTATGTCCATCCTACGCCTCCCCCACCGTGCCCCAGTCCCAGCAGCTGCCGCTGCAGTTCTCCAACAAGGTGGCTCTGGACCCGCGCGCCTCCCAAGAGGGCATCAAGCAGCTGCTGCGCGCCATGCAGTCCTCCGAGACGTCCGTCTTCGTCGTCCACGTGGCCTCAACCAACGTGCTCTTCCTCTTCGAAGAAGGTACTGCTGAGCTGACCGCATGGGGCTGATGGGCGCATGGGGCTGATGGGCGCATGGGGCTGATGGGCGCATGGGGCTGATGGGTGCCTAAGTGGAGAAATACGCGTGCGGCGTATTATACGATTCTGTATATACACTAGAGTACATACGGTGTACGCTTGATTCTAGTTTTACAAACGGCAGGAAATACGCTTGGGCGGGCAGGCCAAAAAGTTCGGGCAGGGGTTAAAAAAACTCTGTTTTGGGGGGGGGGGAGGGGGAGATATATCGCAACTTAGCCGCGCTAGACTAGGGAGAGATTTGCACTGGCTGGATTCGTCGTAAGCATAGTAGTGAAACGCGATGTGAGATTCTTAGAGTAGAGAGAGGGACGATAGAGATTGGGTGGGTGTAGGTTGGAAATTGTAGATTGGGTGGGACGCTGTGCGGTTGGGAGGGGACGAGGAGGGGGTGTGGGTGGGAGTTGGTTGGAAGTTGTAGATTGGGTGGGATGCTGTGCGGTTGAGAGGGGGATAGGGGGGGGATTGAGGGTGTTGGTTGGGAGTTGTAGATGTTAGAAACTGAGAACTTGATTAATTGAATGAGCAAGAGCATACATCCTTAAGTACCGAGCATCGGAGAGGATGGGAAGGGATAAGGGAGAATCGGAGGGAATCCCAAGGGAATCATCCCAAATCGTGGGGACTTGGGATGGATTGGGTTGGGATAGGTTGGGGATGAAAACAAGGCTACACCCAACCTAACAAATATGCCGAACCCTAAAACCAACAAATTACTAACACACAAAGTTGTGCCAACCGAACTGCAGCCTATCTCCAACAGTAGATTGGGTGGTGGGATACTGTGCGGTTGGGATGGGGGGAGGGGTTGGTTTGGGTGGGTGTTGGTTGGGAGTTGTAGTTTGGGTGGGATACTGTGGGGTTGGGAGGGGGGGAGGGGTTGGGATGTCGAATTGAAAGACCTTAGTCGAGTTTGCGACTTCAACGAAATTTCTGCCTTGATTCGCCAAGTCGCGACTTGCGATATATATATATATATATATATATATATATATATATATATATATATATATATATATATAGACTTGAGCATTTTACCCGGTCGGGTCGCGGGTACCCGACCCGACCCGACATTTTGGCCGGGTCGGGTAATAGGATTCTGACAAATTACCCGGCCGGGTCGGGTCGGGTAATAGCGCCGGGTAATGCATACCCGCTACCCGGAAATTACCCGAAATGTCGGGTAATTTATTACCCGCGGGGTAGTGGATGCATTACCCGACATCGGGTTTATTACCCGAGATCGGGTCGCGGGTACCCGACCCGATATCGGGTCACAAAATTACCCGACGGCAACCAGCACGTCAAGTTTCGCGGTGGTTGGGAAATTTCGACCATAGGGTCAAAATTTCCCGCGACTATTTTGTTTCTCAGTTTCGTTCAACCTAAGCCTACCCTAACGTGCACGTAGGAGCATTCCGCAGCGGGTCTACTACAAACCGCTTCAATTTTTAACGAATCCTAGGGTAGTGTAGAAGACAAGGGCTACACCTTGGCGATTTTAGCTGCCTAGCCGTCCGTTTTAGGGTTTCGTCACCCCCACTTACAGTTAGAGCGTAGAATACACTGAAATCGCGTTTAGGGATTGACGGACAGTTCGGTCATGGTGCTACTGTACGACAGTTGGGACGGGGTTTCTATGGCTGACCAGGATCTGGCCGCCGAAGGAGGAGTCGCCACGGCTGAGGAGGGGGGAGTGCAGTCCAGCAATCGCATACAAGGCGCCTCCCTTGGAGGTCTCCCTGTACCCGCACAGGACCAGAGCTTTGCTCTGGGGAGTGGAGTTCGTGGGGTCGGAGAGGAGGGGAACGTGCAAGCGGTGGAGCCCGGTGAGGGAGGCGCTCTGCCAGGTGGGGGCGGAGGGCAGCGGGTTGGGCAGCGTCCCAGTGGTGGTGGTGATCAGGATTGGCAGCCGGGTGCCGACGACGTGGTGGATCTTTCAGGAGAGGATGCATCCCCTGCCACGCAGGCGGTGGGTCGCCCGAGAGCCGCAAACCAGGGGGGCCGACCCCAAGGGCGTCCTAAGGGCCGGGCAATGGCGGTTCAGGGGGGGGGTGCGGGAGCAGGGCGGCGTGCTGCGCGCGGCCGTCCCAGAGGGGCCGCAAGGGGTCTTGGGCGGAGTGCAGAGGGACGTGAAATGGTAGCTGCGGAGGATGCCCGAGATGGGGGTGTTGGGGCGACTCCCCGTCGGGCGGGCGCAACCGGGCGCGGGGGAGGGGCTGCAGGGACCGGTGCAGGGCGGGTGAAGCGGACGCGGGTGGGGGAGGATGGCGAACCTGTTCCAGGCTACTGGGGTACCATTCCTGGCTTGATGCAGGGGATGTTTTATGAGCCGGAGGAGGGTGATGCCTCGCGTGTCTGTAAGGTATGCGAGGAGGAGTTCTACTGGGACCGGAGCAGTACGTCGACCGGATGGAAGCATGTGCGAGCGAAGCACATGCCTCATCTCCAGATATGGCATCGCGAGTTTACAGCCCCGGACAAGAAGCTGGGCCTTGAGTTCCCCCCCGGCGGATACACGGGTGCTCCGGATGGGCCCGAGCCGTGGGAGCATGTGGCGGCGTATCCTAACATCCCGGGGTTACGTGAGGGCACCGGGACACCCACGGCCGAGCGTGGGCAGCGCGTCATCGGCCAGTTCTTCACGCGGCGGGTGTCCCAGGAGCTTCTCCGGCAGGCGTTGGTTGAGCTGTTCGCCGACGCATGCCTGCCCTTCCGCCTCGTCGACCGGCCCTCGGTGAGTCATAACACTTGGTGGTGCTTACCAGCCCTTTGTGCCTAGTCATATCGTCATCCGTCGTGTGCGCTGACTCCATGCCTACGACAGAGACTCGGGGTTCCTCATCCGCGTGTACCTGCCCTTAACCCCATCCCGCCCCACCCCACAGTTCCGTCGATATACTGCACTCCTGAACCCGCCGGCCGCAGAACTGCTAGGCTCTCGTTTCCGCCTGGCCCGTGACATGCTACTGACTGGGGAGGGTGCGCGCGAGCAGCTGCACCAGGAGATCATCGGGGACGGGGCAGCGGGGAAGGTGTCACTGACCACAGACATTTGGTCTAGCCCTGCCCAGGATTCGTTCATGGCCGTCACAGCCCACTGGATCACTTCGGACTTCCAGCTGCGAGTGGCGCTGCTGGAGTTCGAGGAGCTGCAGGGGTCCCACACTGGCGTGATGATTGCAGAAACCTTGGAGCGGATCATTGCAGACTGGGGCCTGAATGACCACGTGCTCGGCATCACGACGGACAATGCCGAGAACAACGTGAAGGCCCTGAAGATCCTCACTGCCGATCCTAACACCCCCGAGGCGCGGGCTGTCGCCGTCATCAACCCTCGATTCTTCTTCAGGTGGGTCGCCGTAGCATGGCATGGCATGGCATGCCACATGTCCACATGTGCACCATGGCATGGCATGTCATTGTCACATGTCCACATGTCCAGCATGGCATGGCATGCCACATGTGCACCATGGCATGACATGCCACATGTGCACCATGGCATGACATGCCACATGTGCACCATGGCATGGCATGCCACATGTGCACCATGGCATGGCATGCCACATGTGCACCATGGCATGGCATGCCACATGTGCACCATGGCATGGCATGCCACATGTGCACCATGGCATGGCATGCCACATGTGCACCATGGCATGGCATGCCACATGTGCACCATGGCATGACATGCCACATGTGCACCATGGCATGGCATGCCACATGTGCACCATGGCATGACATGCCACATGTGCACCATGGTATGGGTTTATACCTATCTTCCCACCCCAAACAACTCCCCCCCCGACCCACCCCAAGGTGTCTGGCGCACATCCTAAACCTTGCAGTGCAGCGGGCTCTGGGGTTGCCAGCAGTGGCAGAGCCACTCCGCCGCATGAGGGAGCTCGCGTCTTACATTGGCTGGTCATCTACCAGGTCCCCCATGTTTGAGGCGGAGCAGGCGCTTGTGTTCCCGCCCGGCACCCCGGTTCTCCGATTGGTCAATGACACCCCCACTCGCTGGGGGTCGTCTTACGAGATGGTTGCCCGCGCACTGAAGCTGAAACCAGCGCTCACACTCTTCTTCTCCCGGCCTGAGGTACTTGACTTTACCATTTCCCCATCATTCGTATCGTTCCACAGTCCAAGCTCTTTCCCGGTTCAATTGTAGTCCTCTATCTGCATGGTGTTGCTGATTTCCTCACATCCTCGCCCCATTGTACCCCTCCCGGCCACCCTTCCGCCCGCACCCCACAGGTTGGTGTTCCCAGGCGGGCACAGGTGCAGGCGGCCCGGTGCAAGCTGGGGGATGCGCACTGGGAGGTAGCTGAGGTTCTGGCCGAGTTCCTGAAACCATTCAATGACATCACCACGGCGGCAGAGGGGTCCTTGTACCCCACGGCCGCTGCGGTGGTGCCACAGTTTAACCTCCTCATAGATACCCTCGAGGCCTCGTTCCACAACCCGAGCACCAACGCGCTGCGCAAGGAGATGGACAGGGAGGGGCTGGTGGTCCTGAAGAAGTATTTGTATGGAATTAGTGACGAGTTAGCTGTGGCGACGTTCTTGGACCCTCGGTTCAAGAACGCATACTTCAAGCTGAAGAGGTGGGAGGGGGCGAACCCGACACTGGTGGCGGCGGTTGCTGATGGACCTAGGGTAGTCAAGGATGTGAGCGAGGCGGATGTCAAGGCGTTGGTGCGCTCTCGCCTCCAGTCGTACCTAGACGAGCAGCGCCGCCGAGCCGTGGGCACAGGGCACGAGGGCACGAATTCTGGCATTACGAGTGGGGAGGGGGAGAGTAGGCTCGGACAGGAGGGTGACAGGAGGGCCACTGGGGGGCGCTTGACGGACTTGCTTGGCTCGCAGATGGACCTGATGGATGAGGAGGCGGGTGTGCAGGAGGTGGATGAGGTGGAGAGGTATCTGGGTGAGCAGAGGCTGGCCATGGACAAATGCCCTCTCACATGGTGGCGCTCGCGCACCTCGCTGCCGGGGCTGCAAGCCATGGCTCGCGATTACCTTGCCATCCCTGCAACCTCGGCACCGAGTGAGCGGGCGTTTAGCCAGGGCCGAAACATTGTCAGCTGGCAGCGTCATCGGTTGAGCCCTGCTCAGGTGCGCGCATCCATGACTATCAAGTCATGGATGACGCAGCACGCAGACGCCAAACTCCCAATGGCACATCAGGGTGGGGGGTCAGGGGAGGTGTGTATTGAGGGTGATGACGAGGGGCTGTGAGGGAGGAGGGGCATTGGTCACATAGTGGGTTTGCTTAAACTCCCCTTGGTATATGTATATATATATATATATATATATATATATATTTTTTTTTTGTTTTTTCGTATTTCTCGCCGGGCAGACCGCCGAGAAATACGCTTGCGTATTGCGTACTACCTTAGCGTACTGCGTATCGCGTATATACGCCAGCGTACATACGCGATACGCTTGGCTGCACGAGCGTATTTCTCCACTTAGATGGGCGCATGGGGCTGATGAGCGCATGGGGCTGATGGGCGCATGGGGCTGATGAGCGAGGGGAACGTGTGGGTATCAACGGAGACGCCATCTCTCCCATCCCATTCCCCTCCCTCTTCTCCAATGTGCCCCCCCACTCCCCCCCTGTCCCCCCTCTTCTACCCTCCCCCTTCCCCCCACCCACCCTCCCCTTCACCCCCAACCTTCTCCCTGTTTGCAGCCCAGCGCATGGGGCTGATGAGCGAGGGGTACGTGTGGATATCAACGGAGGGCTCCATCTCGCACCTCATGGGGGCTGACGTCAACTCCACCTACCTCAGCACTCTCACTGTATGCAGCAATTTGCGTTGAGCAGTGTTTTTAGTGCGTGTAAGGAGTCCAGTCCTGTGGGGCTTCAAACTTTCACTCATGGGGGCTGATGTCAGCTCCACTTACCTCAGCGCTCTCACTGTGCGTGTCAGTTGCGTTGAGCAGTTCTCTCACAGTGCGTGTCAGTTGCGTTGAGCAGTTCTCTCACTGTGCGTGTCAGTTGCGTTGAGCAGTTCTCTCACTGTGCGTGTCAGTTGCGTTGAGCAGTTCTCTCACAGTGCGTGTCAGTTGCGTTGAGCAGTTCTCTCACTGTGCGTGTCAGTTGCGTTGAGCAGTTCTCTCACTGTGTGCTCTCACCGTATGCATCTATCGCGCTCTTGAAATGGCTCAAAAGCACCTCATGGGGGCTGATATCAACTCCACCTACCTCAGCACTCTCACTGTGTCTATCATTCAAGAGCGGTGCTTTTAGTGTGTGTAGGGAGTCTAATCCTGTGGGGCTTCACACTTTCACTCATGGGGGCTGATGTCAACTCCACCTACCTCAGCGCTCTCACTTTGTGTGTCAATTTTGTCGAGCGATCCTCCCACTGTATGTATCGATCGCACTCTTGAATCGGCTCAAAAGCACCTCGTGGGGGTTGATGTCAACTCTGCCTACTTCATTGCTCTCACTGTACGCATCAATTGCGTTAAGCAGTCCTCCCACTGTGCGTGCCCATTGTGTTGAGCTGTCCTCCCACTGTGTGTATCGATCGTTTTGAGCAGTGCTCTTGCTGTACGCATCTGCTTTGAGCACAGGGAGAGCCCTTCCCACTCAACAACCCTCCCTGCCGTCCCGTCCCTCCCCCCTGCTGCCCCGTCCCTCCCCCCTGCCCCCCCCCTCCACTGGACGGGCATCAGGGCATGATGGGCACGCGTGTGGCCATCCGAGACAACCCGCGCCTGCAGGAGTTCAGGCGCAGTTGGAAGGCGCTGGACCCCAAGAAGTATCCTGGTGCCGCCACTGACACTGTGCGTGCGTACACCCACCAACTTATCTACTGTTTCCTAATCTAATCCCGTTTTGAGACTACTCGAAACAACACTTTGCATGCTACCTGCCAGGAGCCAGCTTTCCTGTTCGCCCACTCCACCTACACATTGCTCTCTGTCCCCACCACCACCCCCATCAGGTCTCCCCCTACGCGCTGCTAGGGTATGATGCTATGTGGGTGGCGGCCCGTGCGCTCCACAACCTCTCCCACATCCCAGGAGCCAGGTTCCCCTTCCGCCCGCCGCGCTCACCGCTGCCCTCTGATGCGGGCGGCAGCACTGACTTCGCACGCCTCAACGTCAGCAGAGGTGAATCTTAGTCAACTGAAAGAGACCTGTTAAACCCTAGAGCCGTGTATCAATGGACGCCCACTGCTGCCCCCTGATGCGGGCGGCAGCACCGATTTCGCACGCCTCAACGTCAGCAGAGGTGACACTTAGTCAGCATAAGAAGACTTTTAAAGCCATAGAGCCGAGTATCAAAGGTCGCTCACTGCTGCCCTCTGATGCGGGCAGCAGCACCGACTTCTCAGGGCTCAACGCCAGCTAAGGTGGCGCCAGCAAAGGTGACGCCAGCAAAGGTGGCGCCAGCAAAGGTGACGCCAGCTAAGGTGGCGCCAGCAAAGGTGACGCCAGCAAAGGTGGCGCCAGCAAAGGTGACGCCAGCAATGGTGACGCCAGCAATGGTGACGCCAGCAATGGTGGCGCCAGCAAAGGTGGCTCCCAGTCAACATGAAACGACCTGCAAAACCCTGAGCTGCATAACAAAGGGCGCCCACTGCTGCCCTCTGATGGGGGCGGCAGCACCGACTTCTGACGCACCAACGTCACCAAAGTTGTCGCTTCATCTACTCAAAAAGTATCTTGAAGCCCTAGAGCCGAGTATCAAAGGGCGCCCACTGCTGCCCTCTGCTGGGGGCAGCAGCTACCAGCTTGCCCCCTGCAATGTTCTTGTATACTTGGTCAGTTATTTGCCTTGTCGTTGCTTCTTGATGTGCTCTCACAAAGCCAAGGAGGTGCATGCTGCCGTTCGGCTCATTCTTTGTTATTGTTCGTTGCATTTTGGCTTCAAATCCCGGCTTGACAGGTGGCATCACGCTATTGGAGGCACTTGCCAAGACTCAAATGGAAGGAATAATTGGGAAGTGAGTCTCCTCCTGCTCCTGACCCTTTCGAAGGAGTGCTCCTCCTCCTCCCCCTCCTCCTCACACTAAGAAGACGAAACCATATAGGCTATAACCGTCAGTAGCTGCTGTCTGTAGCTGCTGTCTGTAGCTGCTGTCTGTAGCTGCTGTCTGTAGCTGCTGCCTGTAGCTGCTGCCTGTAGCTGCTGCTGCTGTGCCAGTTTGGCACTACAACGAGTCCAGCTTCCAGTAGCTGCTGCCATAATCAAATCCCTCCTCACCCCCTCCACCTGCGCCTTCTCCTCCCCTCTCCCTCCCCCCTCCCCCCCCCTGCTTTCTCCTCCCCTCTCCCTCCCCCCTCCCCCCCCTTGCTTTCTCCTCCCCTCTCCTGCCCCCCCGCCCCCCCACCCCCCTTCCCAACTTCCTTTCTCCTTCCTTCTCCCCGCTGCAGCCCCACCCAGCATTGCGTTTGACAAGAACTACGACCGCGTGGGGGTGAGCTACGAGGTGGTCAATCTGGTGGCTGGAATCATTTTTGAGAACTCAAAAGAAAATAAAAAAATCAAAAAACGAGTGGGGGTGAGCTATGCGGTGGTCAATCTGGTGGCTGGTGCCATGACCACACACCGCGCCTTGCGTTCCTCCTCCCTCCCTGGCCCCCTCTCCTCCTTTCCACTGCGCCCCATCCAGCATTGCGTTTGACAAGAACCATGACCGCGTTGGGGTGAGCTACGAGGTGGTCAATCTGTTGGCGTCCAAATTTGAGACCCTGGGCTACTGGGAGCAGGGCAAGGGCCTCGTGGCTCTCGAAGTGAGTGCTGTTAAAGTTGTGAGAGGTGAAAGTTGAGAGACATGAAAGTTGAGAGAGATGAAAGTTGAGAGAGATGAACGTTGAGAGAAGAGAATTGAATAAGCAAGGGAAAGAGCCGAAGCTGTACAAACAAGATGAAATAATAACTACGCTACCATCGATTCGAATTGCAGTTTATATAAAGGGATGCAGGTATTCCTACAGGTGCGGCTGAAGCTGTCCTCGTCTTTGTGTGCGCGCCTCATGTCTTTGTGTGTGCGCCTCATGTCTTTGTGTGCGCGCCTCATGTCTTTGTGTGCGCGCCTCATGTCTTTGTGTGTGCGCCTCATGTCTTTGTGTGTGCGCCTCATGTCTTTGTGTGTGCGCCTCATGTCTTTGTGTGTGCGCCTCATGTCTTTGTGTGCGCGCCTCATGTCTTTGTGTGTGCGCCTCTTGTCTTTGTGTGCGTGCCTCATGTCTTTGTGTGTGCGCCTCATGTCTTTGTGTGTGCGCCTCATGTCTTTGTTGTGCGCCTCATGTCTTTGTGTGTGTGCCTCATGTCTTTGTTGTGCGCGCCTCATGTCTTTGTTGTGCGCCTCATGTCTTTGTGTGTGCGCCTCATGTCTCTGTGTGTGCGCCTCATGTCTTTGTGTGTGCGCCTCATGTCTTTGTGTGTGTGCCTCATGTCTTTGTTGTGCGCCTCATGTCTTTGTGTGTGCGCCTCATGTCTTTGTGTGTGTGCCTCATGTCTTTGTGTGTGCGCCTCATGTCTTTGTGTGTGCGCCTCATGTCTTTGTGTGTGCGCCTCATGTCTTTGTTGTGCGCCTCATGTCTTTGTGTGTGCGCCTCATGTCTTTGTGTGTGCGCCTCATGTCTTTGTGTGTGCGCCTCATGTCTTTGTGTGTGCGCCTCATGTCTTTGTGTGTGCGCCTCATGTCTTTGTGTGTGCGCCTCATGTCTTTGTGTGTGCGCCTCATGTCTTTGTGTGTGCGCCTCATGTCTTTGTTGTGCGCCTCATGTCTTTGTGTGTGCGCCTCATGTCTTTGTGTGTGCGCCTCATGTCTTTGTGTGTGCGCCTCATGTCTTTGTGTGTGCGCCTCATGTCTTTGTGTGTGCGCCTCATGTCTTTGTGTGTGCGCCTCATGTCTTTGTGTGTGCGCCTAATGTCTTTGTTGTGCGCCTCATGTCTTTGTGTTGTGCGCCTGCTGTTGTGCGCCTGTTGTTGTGCGCCTGTTGTTGTGCGCCTGTTGTTGTGCGCCTGTTGCTGTGCGCCTGTTGCTGTGCGCCTGCTGTTGTGCGCCTGTTGTTGTGCGCCTGTTGTTGTGCGCCTGTTGTTGTGCGCCTGTTGTTGTGCGCCTGTTGTTGTGCGCCTGTTGTTGTGCGCCTGCTGTTGTGCGCCTGTTGTTGTGCGCCTGTTGTTGTGCGCCTGTTGTTGTGCGCCTGTTGTTGTGCGCCTGTTGTTGTGCGCCTGTTGCTGTGGGCCTGTTGCTGTGCGCCTGTTGCTGTGCGCCTGTTGCTGTGCGCCTGTTGCTGTGCGCCTGTTGCTGTGCGCCTGTTGCTGTGCGCCTGTTGCTGTGCGCCTGTTGCTGTGCGCCTGTTGCTGTGCGCCTGTTGCTGTGCGCCTGTTGCTGTGCGCCTGTTGCTGTGCGCCTGTTGCTGTGCGCCTGTTGCTGTGCGCCTGTTGCTGTGCGCCTGTTGCTGTGCGCCTGTTGCTGTGCGCCTGTTGCTGTGCGCCTGTTGCTGTGCGCCTGTTGCTGTGCGCCTGTTGCTGTGCGCCTGTTGCTGTGCGCCTGTTGTTGTGCGCCTGTTGTTGTGCGCCTGTTGTTGTGCGCCTGTTGTTGTGCGCCTGTTGTTGTGCGCCTGTTGTTGTGCGCCTGTTGTTGTGCGCCTGTTGTTGTGCGCCTGTTGTTGTGCGCCTGTTGTTGTGCGCCTGCTGTTGTGCGCCTGCTGTTGTGCGCCTGCTGTTGTGCGCCTGCTGTTGTGCGCCTGCTGTTGTGCGCCTGCTGTTGTGCGCCTGCTGTTGTGCGCTGCTGTTGTGCGCCTGTTGCTGTGCGCCTGTTGCTGTGCGCCTTTTGCTGTGCGCCTGTTGCTGTGCGCCTGTTGTTGTGCGCCTGTTGTTGTGCGCCTGTTGTTGTGCGCCTGTTGTTGTGCGCCTGTTGTTGTGCGCCTGTTGTTGTGCGCCTGCTGTTGTGCGCCTGCTGTTGTGCGCCTGCTGTTGTGCGCCTGCTGTTGTGCGCCTGCTGTTGTGCGCCTGCTGTTGTGCGCCTGCTGTTGTGCGCCTGTTGTTGTGCGCCTGTTGTTGTGCGCCTGTTGTTGTGCGCCTGTTGTTGTGCGCCTGTTGTTGTGCGCCTGTTGTTGTGCGCCTGTTGTTGTGCGCCTGTTGTTGTGCGCCTGTTGTTGTGCGCCTGCTGTTGTGCGCCTGCTGTTGTGCGCCTGCTGTTGTGCGCCTGCTGTTGTGCGCCTGCTGTTGTGCGCCTGCTGCTGTGCGCCTGCTGTTGTGCGCCTGCTGTTGTGCGCCTGCTGTTGTGCGCCTGCTGTTGTGCGCCTGCTGTTGTGCGCCTGCTGTTGTGCGCCTGCTGTTGTGCGCCTGCTGTTGTGCGCCTGTTGTTGTGCGCCTGTTGTTGTGCGCCTGTTGTTGTGCGCCTGTTGTTGTGCGCCTGTAGCTGTGTGCCTGTTGCTGTGCGCCTGTTGCTGTGCGCCTGTTGCTGTGCGCCTGTTGTTGTGCGCCTGTTGCTGTGCGCCTGTTGCTGTGCGCCTGTTGCTGTGCGCCTGTTGCTGTGCGCCTGTTGCTGTGCGCCTGTTGCTGTGCGCCTGTTGCTGTGCGCCTGTTGCTGTGCGCCTGTTGTTGTGCGCCTGTTGCTGTGCGCCTGTTGTTGTGCGCCTGTTGTTGTGCGCCTGTTGTTGTGCGCCTGTTGTTGTGCGCCTGTTGTTGTGCGCCTGTTGTTGTGCGCCTGCTGTTGTGCGCCTGCTGTTGTGCGCCTGCTGTTGTGCGCCTGCTGTTGTGCGCCTGTTGTTGTGCGCCTGTTGTTGTGCGCCTGTTGTTGTGCGCCTGTTGTTGTGCGCCTGTTGGTGTGCGCCTGTTGGTGTGTGCCTGTTGCTGTGCGCCTGTTGCTGTGCGCCTGTTGCTGTGCGCCTGTTGCTGTGCGCCTGTTGCTGTGCGCCTGTTGCTGTGCGCCTGTTGCTGTGCGCCTGTTGCTGTGCGCCTGTTGCTGTGCGCCTGTTGCTGTGCGCCTGTTGCTGTGCGCCTGTTGTTGTGCGCCTGTTGTTGTGCGCCTGTTGTTGTGCGCCTGTTGTTGTGCGCCTGTTGTTGTGCGCCTGTTGTTGTGCGCCTGTTGTTGTGCGCCTGTTGTTGTGCGCCTGTTGTTGTGCGCCTGTTGTTGTGCGCCTGTTGTTGTGCGCCTGTTGTTATGCGCCTGTTGTTGTGCGCCTGTTGTTGTGCGCCTGTTGTTGTGCGCCTGTTGTTATGTGCGGTGTTTTTCACCTGGCGTTGCTGCAACGAGTTCTGCTCCCACAGGCACCTCATCCTGATTTTGCAGGGTGTTTTTGAGAATTCCAAAAAAACACCCTGTTATTGCAAGTGGTGTTTCCCACCTCCACTTGGTGTTGCTGCAACGTTTTCTGCTCCCACAGGCACCTCGACCTGTGCTGCCTCTGAGTCCTCCCTCCTTTCCCCTGCTCCCTCCCTTTCTATCGTCGCATCCACCCCCCATTCTCTCTTTTTGAGGCGCCTCAAAATAAGACTTTGTGTTCTCCCCCCCCCTGCTCCCCCCCCATCTGCTCTATCCGACACCTCTCTCTCGCTCTCTCCCGGCCTTGTGCTCACCCTGCTTGTACGCTGGCCCTTCCCCACACTGGCCTTCCCCACCCGGGCCTTCCCCCACTGGGGTCTTCCCCACCCGGGCCTTCCCCCACCCTTCCACTCATCGCCAGTCGCATGACTCGTCCAACTCCACCCTCAAGCCTGCTGTGTGGCCCGGCAACACCTCCAAGGTACCATGATGATGCCAAAGTTTTGGTAACACCCTCCACTAGTCTAGTCTAAAGATAGTCAATACTCTAGCTTGGCTCAAAGGCACGTCAGGACTAGCATTTCCTCACCTGCCCTGTCGATCACCTCAGAATCTGAACTTGCATTCCCCAGCTGCCTTTTGAGCCGACTCAAAAGTCATTCCCGAGCTGCCTTTTGAGCCGACTCAAAAGTCATTCCCGAGCTGCCTTTTGAGCCGACTCAAAAGTCATTCCCGAGCTGCCTTTTGAGCCGACTCAAAAGTAATTCCCGAGCTGGCTTTTGAGCCGACTCAAAAGGACTAGCACCTTCCCTGCCGCTCACCTTCCCTGCCGCTCACCTTCCCTGCCGCTCACCCCAGAATCGGGACTTGCATTCCCCTTTCCACCCCTTGTTGGAACAGCTGCTGCAATCATCCCCCCTTCCTTGTCGCTTCAGAGGGTCTTCTAAAGAATTCTCATAAGGCCCTGCAACTCAAAAAACCAAGAATTCTCAGAAAGACCTCCCTTTTCAATTCACATCTCTTTTCCCCTCCTTTTTACCCCCCCGCCCCTTGTTTTTTCACTCTGCCCCCACGCCCAGTTTCCTCGGGGCTGGTTACCATCCAAAGGCAAGGCGTTACGCATTGCAGTGCCCTTCGGCCCCGCCGTAAGCCCGTTTCGTCTGTATCCACTTCTCCCCATTATCCCTTCCTCTTCTCCCCATTATCCCTTCCTCTTCTCCCCATTATCCCTTCCTCTTCTCCCCATTATCCCTTCCTCTTCTCCCCATTATCCCTTCCTCTTCTCCCCATTATCCCTTCCTCTTCTCCCCATTATCCCTTCCTCTTCTCCCCATTATCCCTTCCTCTTCTCCCCATTATCCCTTCCTCTTCTCCCCATTATCCCTTCCTCTTCTCCCCATTATCCCTTCCTCTTCTCCCCATTATCCCTTCCTCTTCTCCCCATTATCCCTTCCTCTTCTCCCCATTATCCCTTCCTCTTCTCCCCGGTGCTTTAACCGATGAGGGGACTGTGACTCTGCTCTCAAATAAGGTCATCAGTCGCCTCGCCGACGCCGCCTCAGCTCCACCGCCTCAGCCTTGCGCTCAGCTTTGCTCTCAGCTTTGCTCTCAGCTTTGCTCTCAGCTTTGCTCTCAGCTTTGCTCTCAGCTTTGCTCTCAGCTTTGCTCTCAGCTTTGCTCTCAGCTTTGCTCTCAGCTTTGCTCTCAGCTTTGCTCTCAGCTTTGCTCTCAGCTTTGCTCTCAGCTTTGCTCTCAGCTTTGCTCTCAGCTTTGCTCTCAGCTTTGCGCTCAGATTTGCTCTCAGTTTTGCTCTCAGCTTTGCTCTCAGCTTTGCTCTCAGCTTTGCGCTCAGCTTTGCTCTCATTTGCTCTCAGCTTTGCTCTCATTTTTTCTCTCAGCTTTGCTCTCATTTTTGCTCTCATTTTTGCTCTCAGCTTTGGTCATCTTTCGCCTCAAAAGTCACCTTGTCTCCTCTTTTTCTTTTTCCTTTTTTTTTTCCTTTTTTTTTCAGTTTGAATCCTCCCCCCGCTTGCCCTTCCCCTCTTGTCTCCCTGTCCCCATTCTCTGCCCCTCCCTCCCACTCTTTGCCCCCCTTTCCCCCCGCTTCCACCCCCCTGGACCGTTGCGCGCTATGTGAACCGCAGTGCAGATGGAGTCTATTTTTTAGGCGCCTCAAAAATACGCCCCCCTTTCCCCCCGCTCCCCCCCCACTTAGACCGTTGCGCACTATGTGAACCGCATTGCAGATGGCTACTTCTCGGGCTTGTGCACGGAAGTGTTTCAGCGAGCCATGGTGCTGCTTTTATTTTTTTAACTTTCGGTGGATCCCCCCCTCAACCCCTCTCCATTCGCCCCCCTGTGCCCTTTTCCCTCCCCCTCTTCCTTCCCTCCCCTCCTTCTAACCCCCCCCTTAGACCGTGGCACAGTACGTGAACCGCACTCTATACGGCAACTTCAAGGGCTTCTGTGTGAACGTGTTTCAGTGCGCAATTAAGACCCTCCTTCCTCACCCCCTCTTCCTCTCCCTCCCACCAACCCTTTTCCCCTTATCCGCCACATCCCCCCCTCCCCCCCCCCCGCCCCCCCCTAGACCGTGGCACAGTACGTGAACCGCACTCCAGACGGCAACTTCACGGGCTTCTGTGTGGAGGTGTTTCAGCGAGCCATGGCGCTGCTCCCGTACCCGGTGGGGTACTCGCTGGTGCCGTATGACTTCCAGAGCAACTCATACGAGGACCTCGTTCGGAGCGTGGCGGACAAGGTGGGGGAGGGGAGGGGGGAGGGGAGGGGGAGGGGAGGGGGGAGGGGAGGGGGGAGGGGAGGGGGGAGGGGAGGGGGAGGGGAGGGGGGAGGGACAGGCGGGAGAAAGGGTGCGGGGATAAGGTCTGGGAGACTGAGTGCCATGGCGCTGCTGCCGTACCTGGTGGGGTACTCGCTGGTGCCGTATGACTTCCAGAGCAACTCGTACGAGGACCTCGTTCGGAGCGTGGCGGATAAGGTGGGGGAGGGGATGGGGGAGGGGATGGGGGAGGGGATGGGGAAGGGGATGGGGGAGGGGAGGGGAAGGGGAAGGGGCAGGGGGGGTGGGGGGTAAGGTGAGGGTGAGGGAGACAGAGTGCCATGGCGCTGCTGCAGTACCCAGTGGGGTGCTTAGCAAGCAGTGTGCCATATGACTTGCCTTTTCCTTGCTCGTTGTAGCACCCATCTTGCTCCCTTCCCAATCACCTCACCCCACACCTCGCCCTACACCTGTCCCACACCTATCCCACACCTATCCCACACCTGTCCCACACCTGTTCCACACCTTTCCCACACCTGTCCCACACCTGTCCCACACCTGTCCCACCCACACCTATTCCACACCTATTACACACCTATCCCACACCTATCCCAATCCTATCCCACATGCACTTATCCCACACTTCGTCCTGCACCTCCTCCCCCACACCTCGTCCCCTCAACTCGTCCCACCTCCCCCCCGCACCTCCTCCCCCCGCAGGAGTTTGATGGGGAGATATGGGACATCACAGTCACAGCTATCTCACTCCCACCTCGTCCCACCTCTCCCCCACACCTCCTTCCCCCCACACCACACCTCCCCCCCCCGCAGGAGTTTGACGGGGCGATAGGGGACATCACCGTCACAGCTGATCGCGCCCAGACTGTGGACTTCACTCAGCCCTTCATGGTAACCGCACACAAGCCTTTATGGTAACGGCGCACAGGCCTTCATGGTAACCGCACACAGGCCTTCATGGTAACCGCACACAGGCCTTCATGGTAACCGCACACAAGCCTTTATGGTAACAGCGCACAGGCCTTCATGGTAACCGCACACAGGCCTTCATGGTAACTGCACACAGGCCTTCATGGTAATGGCACACAGGCCTTCATGGTAACCGCACATAGGCCTTCGTTTCTGGTAACCGCATAGGCCTTTCTTTGTGGTAACCGCCCGGGGTTTCATGATACTAAACGCCACTTCCCCTTCCTTCCTTCGTGCTTACCACATACATAGCCCCTAGTTTGTGGTAACTACTGGCGATTCATGGTAACCGCTGGATGCTTCATTGTAACGGCCCAGTGTTTTGTGGCAACATCGTAGTTTTTCACAGCAGGAAGGAATGCATCAGAGCCATTTGTCTCCAGCAATGCTCTCAACTCAACGCACTCAAATCAGAGCGGAAAGGGCCGCTGCGCAGCGATGCACTGGGCCCAGTGGTGCTGCAGCTCGACCCCACGTAACCCTGGGCGTTCCTCCACCTCTTCACTGCCTCCATGTGGGCTCGCATAGTAACTCTTCCTCCCTTTTCTCTTTCCAAACGAATCCCCCATGAGTCAGGCCTGGGCATGGTGGTGCCCGTGCTGCAGTGCGGGCCCACCAGACCCTGGGCGCTCCTCCACCCGCCCCTGGGCGCGCCTCCATCCGCCCCTGGGCGGACCTTCAACCGCCCCTGGGCGGACCTTCAAGCGCTCCTGGCGGACCTTCAACCGCCCCTGGGCGGACCTTCAACCGCTCCTGGGCGGACCTTCAACCTTCAACCGCGCACAGCGTCCATGTGGGGTGCTCATACGGTCGTGCCGTCCCTCTCGCTTCTCCCTCTCCCTTTTCTCGTCCTCCCACTGCAACCAACCCTACAGGAGTCAGGCCTGGACCCGGTGGTGCCTGTGCTGCAGGGCGGCCCCGCAAACCCGTGGGCGTTCCTGTACCCCTTTACATCCAGCATGTGGGCGGGCTTTCTCGCTTTTCTCTTTGAGAATTCTCAAAAACAAAACACACCCGTCACAGCCAGCATGTGGGCGGGCGCTCATGATAACCCTTTCTCGCTTTTCTCTTTCCAATCATCCCCCACCCCAGGAGTCCGGCCTCGGGTTGGTGGTGCCCGTATTGCAGGGCGACCCCACGAACCCCTGGGCGTTCCTGTACCCCTTCACAGCCAGCATGTGGGCGCTCATGATAGCCTCCATATTCTTCACAGCCGCGGTCATCTGGTACCTCGAGCACAACCAGAACCTTGATTTCGGAGGGGGCCCTACCACCACCAGCTCACCACCAGCCTCTGGTAAGAATCAATCTCAGAATCTGGTGCATGATGCATCTGATACATCTGATATGCCACAGTCATGACTTTTGAGTCGACTCAAAAGTTATCTGTCGCATGATGCATCTGATACATCTGATATGCCACAATCACCTGCTAGCGCTCATGATAGCATCCATAGTCGTTACAGCCGCAGTCATCTCGTACCACAAGCACAACAGAACCTTGACTTTGGAGGGGGGCCCTACCACCACCAGCTCACCACCAGCCTCTGGTCAGCCCCCTCCCTTCCCTTTCCCTTTGGGGTGGATCAACAACCCCAGAATCTGCTGCATCCGGTGCGCCTGGTGCGCTCGGTGCATCTCTGGTTCATCTTGCATGCCATAGGCACCTGCGAGTGCTCACGATAGCGTCCATAGTCTTCATTCACAGCCGTGGTCATCTGCCACCTCGAGTACAACCAGAACCTTGACTTTGGGGGGGAGGGAGGCTACCGCCACCAGCTCACCACCAGCCTCTGGTGAGGTTTGTAAGCTATTGCTGTTGATTCGTAGTTGTCAGTAAGGCCAACCCATGCATCATATAATGTCTGGGAGGCTGCTGATTGTATTTGCTTTTGAGTCGACTCATAAGGCCAACGCATGCACCATGTAATGTCTGGGAGGGCGCTGATCGTACTTACAGTCGTTGCTGCTGCGTTCATCTCCTCAACTCTCCTTCCCCACATTCCCTCCCCCACCCTTCCCCATGTCTCCCCCGGCAGGTTCGCTTTGCCTGCATGGCCCACTCACAAGGCTGTGCTAGTTTTTTTAGAGTTCTCAGAGCCTATCACGAGGCACTTGTTTCCAAGTCGACCCAAAAGCAGTCTTCTCCCCCACCTATCCCACACCCCCTCCTCCCCTCCCCCCCCCCCCTCCCTTGTGTTTCCGCCTGCAGGTTCGCATTTGCCAGCATGGTCCGCTCGCAAGGTACGTGCTCTGATAGCAGCTGGGTGCTTGCAAGGTCCGGTACATCTTGAGAATTTTCAAAAAAATGACTCGTCCGGTACATCTTGACTATTTACTTAGCTCGTCCTCCTGATTCTCAAGCCCTCGGCCGGCCGTCTCCCTGTCTTTCACCCATAGTCCATAGCCGTCTTCATGCTTCTCCACGATGTAGCTTCTTGTGTGCATGATGTGTCAACCATAGTCTATTTGAGATGACATGATTTTGCATGTCCGCATGCTCAAATGCGCAATGTCACGTGCTCACGTATATGTGCTTGTGCTTATGTCCATCCATCCACCCTCCACCGTGCAAGATGTGGGCATCGGTTGGGTGGCCTTGTGCCATCCCAAAACTCTTGGTGCTGCTGAAACACCCACAATCATCCTCACATGCTCGTATATGGGCCATGTATTCACTACATGCTCGTATATGCGTCATGTATTCACTACATGCTCGTATATGCGTCATGTATTCACTACATGCTCGTATATGCGTCATGTATTCACTACATGCTCGTATATGCGTCATGTATTCACTACATGCTCGTATATGCGTCATGTATTCACTACATGCTCGTATATGCGTCATGTATTCACTACATGCTCGTATATGCGTCATGTATTCACTACATGCTCGTATATGCGTCATGTATTCACTACATGCTCGTATATGCGTCATGTATTCACTACATGCTCGTATATGCGTCATGTATTCACTACATGCTCGTATATCCATCATGTATTCACTACATGCTCGTATATGCGCCATGTAGTCACCCCATGCTCGTATATGCGTCATGTATTCACTACATGCTCGTATATGCGTCATGTATTCACTACATGCTCGTATATGCGTCATGTATTCACTACATGCTCGTATATGCGTCATGTATTCACTACATGCTCGTATATGTGTCATGTATTCACTACATGCTCGTATATGCGCCATGTATTCACCCCATGCTCGTATATGCATCATGTATTCACTGCATGCTGGTATATGCGTCATGTATTCACTACATGCTCGTATATGCGTCATGTATTCACTACATGCTCGTATATCCATCATGTATTCACTACATGCTCGTATATGCGCCATATATTCAACCCATGCTCGTATATGCGTCATGTATTCACTACATGCTTGTATATTCGTCATGTATTTACTACATGCTCGTATATGCGTCATGTATTCACTACATGCTCGTATATGCGTCATGTATTCACTACATGCTCGTATATGGGCCATGTATTCACTACATGCTCGTATATGGGCCATGTATTCACCCCATGCTCGTATATGCGTCATGTATTCACTACATGCTCGTATATGCGTCATGTATTCACTACATGCTCGTATATGCGTCATGTATTCACTACATGCTCATATATGCGCCATGTATTCACTACATGCTTGTATATGCGTCATGTATTCACTACATGCTCGTATATCCATCATGTATTCACTACATGCTCGTATATCCATCATGTATTCACTACATGCTCGTATATGCGTCATGTATTCACTACATGCTCGTATATGCGTCATGTATTCACTACATGCTCGTATATGCGTCATGTATTCACTACATGCTCGTATATGCGCCATGTATTCACCCCATGCTCGTATATGCGTCATGTATTCACTGCATGCTGGTATATGCGTCATGTATTCACTACATGCTCGTATATGCGTCATGTATTCACTACATGCTCGTATATCCATCATGTATTCACTACATGCTCGTATATGCGCCATGTATTCACCCCATGCTCGTATATGCGTCATGTATTCACTACATGCTTGTATATTCGTCATGTATTTACTACATGCTCGTATATGCGTCATGTATTCACTACATGCTCGTATATGCGTCATGTATTCACTACATGCTCGTATATGGGCCATGTATTCACTACATGCTCGTATATAGGCCATGTATTCACCCCATGCTCGTATATGCGTCATGTATTCACTACATGCTCGTATATGCGTCATGTATTCACTACATGCTCGTATATGCGTCATGTATTCACTACATGCTCATATATGCGCCATGTATTCACTACATGCTTGTATATGCGTCATGTATTCACTACATGCTCGTATATCCATCATGTATTCACTACATGCTCGTATATGCGCCATGTATTCACCCCATGCTCGTATATGCGTCATGTATTCACTGCATGCTGGTATATGCGTCATGTATTCACTACATGCTCGTATATGCGTCATGTATTCACTACATGCTCGTATATCCATCATGTATTCACTACATGCTCGTATATGCGCCATGTATTCACCCCATGCTCGTATATGCGTCATGTATTCACTACATGCTTGTATATAGGCATGAGCAAAACCGGGTAATTACCCGACCCGACCCGGTTTTGCCATACCCGACCTCGGGTCGGGTAATTTCGGGTCGGGTCCGGGTCGGGTAATATGCCCAGGACCCTTACCCGGACCCGGTTTTTTTAGGCGGGTATTATAATACCCGCCTGGCGGGTCCGGGTATACCCGACCCGGACCCCCTGAAAAGCAGGTAATTTTACCCGCCACCTACTAGTGGACATCCTAAAGTTGGGCTAGGCTAGGTAGGGCTAGGCTAGGTAGGGCTCCACTCGTCCCCCCTCACCTCCAAAACTGTTTTGCCGCAAAACCTAAAACACAGCGCGACTTACGCCCATGTCTAGGTGGAATACCCGACCTCGGGTAATTTTTTACCCGACCGGGTCGGGTACCCGTTACCCGACACGTCGGGTAGCATTCCGGGCAGCGGGTATTGATACCCGGCCCGGGTAACCCGGACCCGACCCGGCGGGTAATTTTCAGGATTTCCGATACCCGACCCGCCCTAAAAGCGGGTCCGGGTACCAAGTACCCGACCCGGGCGGGTAGTTTGCTCAACCCTAATTGTATATGCGTCATGTATTCACTACATGCTCGTATATGCGTCATGTATTCACTACATGTTCGTATATGCATCATGTATTCACTACATGCTCGTATATGCGTCATGTATTCACTCACTACATGCTCGTATATGGGCCATGTATTCACCCCATTCTCGTATATGCGTCATGTATTCACTACATGCTCGTATATGCGTCATGTATTCACTACATGCTCGTATATGCGTCATGTATTCACTACATGCTCGTATATGCGCCATGTATTCACTACATGCTCATATATGCGTCATGTATTCACTACATGCTTGTATATGCGTCATGTATTCACTACATGCTCGTATATCCATCATGTATTCACTACATGCTCGTATATCCATCATGTATTCACTACATGCTCGTATATGCGTCATGTATTCACTACATGCTCGTAAATGCGTCATGTATTCACTACATGCTCGTATATGCGTTATGTATTCACTACATGCTTGTATATGCGTCATGTATTCACTACATGCTCGTATATGCGCCATGTATTCACTACATGCTCGTATATGCGTCATGTATTCACTACATGCTCGTATATGCGTCATGTATTCACTACATGCTCGTATATGCGTCATGTATTCACTACATGCTCGTATATGCGGCATGTATTCACTACATGCTCGTATATGCGTCATGTATTCACTACATGCTCGTATATGCGTCATGTATTCACTACATGCTCGTATATGCGTCATGAATTCACTACATGCTCGTATATGCGTCATGTATTCACTACATGCTCGTATATGCGTCATGAATTCACTACATGCTCGTATATGCGTCATGTATTCACTACATGCTCGTATATGCGTCATGTATTCACTACATGCTCGTATATGCGCCATGTATTCACCCCATGCTCGTATATGCGTCATGTATTCACTGCATGCTGGTATATGCGTCATGTATTCACTACATGCTCGTATATGCGTCATGTATTCACTACATGCTCGTATATCCATCATGTATTCACTACATGCTCGTATATGCGCCATGTATTCACCCCATGCTCGTATATGCGTCATGTATTCACTACATGCTTGTATATTCGTCATGTATTTACTACATGCTCGTATATGCGTCATGTATTCACTACATGCTCGTATATGCGTCATGTATTCACTACATGCTCGTATATGGGCCATGTATTCACTACATGCTCGTATATAGGCCATGTATTCACCCCATGCTCGTATATGCGTCATGTATTCACTACATGCTCGTATATGGGCCATGTATTCACTACATGCTCGTATATGGGCCATGTATTCACCCCATTCTCGTATATGCGTCATGTATTCACTACATGCTCGTATATGCGTCATGTATTCACTACATGCTCGTATATGCGTCATGTATTCACTACATGCTCGTATATGCGCCATGTATTCACTACATGCTCATATATGCGTCATGTATTCACTACATGCTTGTATATGCGTCATGTATTCACTACATGCTCGTATATCCATCATGTATTCACTACATGCTCGTATATCCATCATGTATTCACTACATGCTCGTATATGCGTCATGTATTCACTACATGCTCGTAAATGCGTCATGTATTCACTACATGCTCGTATATGCGTCATGTATTCACTACATGCTTGTATATGCGTCATGTATTCACTACATGCTCGTATATGCGCCATGTATTCACTACATGCTCGTATATGCGTCATGTATTCACTACATGCTCGTATATGCGTCATGTATTCACTACATGCTCGTATATGCGTCATGTATTCACTACATGCTCGTATATGCGGCATGTATTCACTACATGCTCGTATATGCGTCATGTATTCACTACATTCTCGTATATGCGTCATGTATTCACTACATGCTCGTATATGCGTCATGAATTCACTACATGCTCGTATATGCGTCATGTATTCACTACATGCTCGTATATGCGTCATGAATTCACTACATGCTCGTATATGCGTCATGTATTCACTACATGCTCGTATATGCGTCATGTATTCACTACATGCTCGTATATGCGCCATGTATTCACCCCATGCTCGTATATGCGTCATGTATTCACTGCATGCTGGTATATGCGTCATGTATTCACTACATGCTCGTATATGCGTCATGTATTCACTACATGCTCGTATATCCATCATGTATTCACTACATGCTCGTATATGCGCCATGTATTCACCCCATGCTCGTATATGCGTCATGTATTCACTACATGCTTGTATATTCGTCATGTATTTACTACATGCTCGTATATGCGTCATGTATTAACTACATGCTCGTATATGCGTCATGTATTCACTACATGCTCTTATATGCGTCATGTATTCACTACATGCTCGTATATGCGTCATGTATTCACTACATGCTCGTATATGCGCCATGTATTCACCCCATGCTCGTATATGCGTCATGTATTCACTGCATGCTGGTATATGCGTCATGTATTCACTACATGCTCGTATATGCGTCATGTATTCACTACATGCTCGTATATCCATCATGTATTCACTACATGCTCGTATATGCGCCATGTATTCACCCCATGCTCGTATATGCGTCATGTATTCACTACATGCTTGTATATTCGTCATGTATTTACTACATGCTCGTATATGCGTCATGTATTAACTACATGCTCGTATATGCGTCATGTATTCACTACATGCTCTTATATGCGTCATGTATTCACTACATGCTCGTATATGCGTCATGTATTCACTACATGCTCGTATATGCGTCATGTATTCACTACATGCTCGTATATGCGTCATGTATTGTATTCACTACATGCTCGTATATGCGTCATGTATTCACTACATGCTCGTATATGCGTCATGTATTCACTACATGCTCGTATATGCGTCATGTATTCACTACATGCTCGTATATGCGTCATGTATTCACTACATGCTCGTATATGCGTCATGTATTCACTACATGCTCGTATATGCGTCATGTATTCACTACATGCTCGTATATGCGTCATGTATTCACAACATGCTCGTATATGCGTCATGTATTCACTACATGCTCGTATATCCATCATGTATTCACTACATGCTCGTATATGCGCCATGTATTCACCCCATGCTCGTATATGCGTCATGTATTCACTACATGCTCGTATATGCGTCATGTATTCACTACATGCTCGTATATGCGTCATGTATTCACTACATGCTCGTATATGCGTCATGTATATAATGCGACCATGTATTCACCCCATGCTCGTATATGCGTCATGTATTCACTGCATGCTGGTATATGCGTCATGTATTCACTACATGCTCGTATATGCGTCATGTATTCACTACATGCTCGTATATCCATCATGTATTCACTACATGCTCGTATATGCGCCATGTATTCACCCCATGCTCGTATATGCGTCATGTATTCACTACATGCTCGTATATGCGTCATGTATTCACTACATGCTCGTATATGCGTCATGTATTCACTACATGCTCGTATATGCGCCATGTATTCACCCCATGCTCGTATATGCATCATGTATTCACTGCATGCTGGTATATGCGTCATGTATTCACTACATTGCTCGTATATGCGTCATGTATTCACTACATGCTCGTATATCCATCATGTATTCACTACATGCTCGTATATGCGCCATGTATTCACCCCATGCTCGTATATGCGTCATGTATTCACTACATGCTTGTATATGCGTCATGTATTCACTACATGCTCGTATATGCGTCATGTATTCACTACATGCTCGTATATGCGTCATGTATTCACTACATGCTCGTATATGGGCCATGTATTCACCCCATGCTCGTATATGCGTCATGTATTCACTACATGCTCGTATATGCGTCATGTATTCACTACATGCTCGTATATGCGTCATGTATTCACTACATGCTCGTATATGCGCCATGTATTCACTACATGCTCATATATGCGTCATGTATTCACTACATGCTTGTATATGCGTCATGTATTCACTACATGCTCGTATATCCATCATGTATTCACTACATGCTCGTATATCCATCATGTATTCACTACATGCTCGTATATGCGTCATGTATTCACTACATGCTCGTATATGCGTTCATGTATTCACTACATGCTCGTATATGCGTCATGTATTAACTACATGCTCGTATATGCGTCATGTATTCACTACATGCTCTTATATGCGTCATGTATTCACTACATGCTCGTATATGCGTCATGTATTCACTACATGCTCGTATATGCGTCATGTATTCACTACATGCTCGTATATGCGTCATGTATTCACTACATGCTCGTATATGCGTCATGTATTCACTACATGCTCGTATATGCGTCATGTATTCACTACATGCTCGTATATGCGTCATGTATTCACAACATGCTCGTATATGCGTCATGTATTCACTACATGCTCGTATATCCATCATGTATTCACTACATGCTCGTATATGCGCCATGTATTCACCCCATGATCGTATATGCGTCATGTATTCACTACATGCTCGTATATGCGTCATGTATTCACTACATGCTCGTATATGCGTCATGTATTCACTACATGCTCGTATATGCGTCATGTATTCACTACATGCTCGTATATGCGTCGTGTATTCACTACATGCTCGTATATGCGCCATGTATTCACCCCATGCTCGTATATGCGTCATGTATTCACTGCATGCTGGTATATGCGTCATGGATTCACTACATGCTGGTATATGCGTCATGTATTCACTACATGCTCGTATATCCATCATGTATTCACTACATGCTCGTATATGCGCCATATATTCACCCCATGCTCGTATATGCGTCATGTATTCACTACATGCTTGTATATGCGTCATGTATTCACTACATGCTCGTATCGTATATGCGTCATGTATTCACTACATGCTCGTATATGCATCATGTATTCACTACATGCTCGTATATGGGCCATGTATTCACCCATGCTCGTATATGCGTCATGTATTCACTACATGCTCGTATATGCGTCATGTATTCACTACATGCTCGTATATGCGTCATGTATTCACTACATGCTCGTATATGCGTCATGTATTCACTACATGCTCGTATATGCGTCATGTATTCACTACATGCTCGTATATGCGCCATGTATTCACCCCATGCTCGTATATGCGTCATGTATTCACTGCATGCTGGTATATGCGTCATGTATTCACTACATGCTGGTATATGCGTCATGTATTCACTACATGCTCGTATATCCATCATGTATTCACTACATGCTCGTATATGCGCCATGTATTCACCCCATGCTCGTATATGCGTCATGTATTCACTACATGCTTGTATATGCGTCATGTATTCACTACATGCTCGTATCGTATATGCGTCATGTATTCACTACATGCTCGTATATGCATCATGTATTCACTACATGCTCGTATATGGGCCATGTATTCACCCCATGCTCGTATATGCGTCATGTATTCACTACATGCTCGTATATGCGTCATGTATTCACTACATGCTCGTATATGCGTCATGTATTCACTACATGCTCGTATATGCCGCCATGTATTCACTACATGCTCATATATGCGTCATGTATTCACTACATGCTTGTATATGCGTCATGTATTCACTACATGCTCGTATATCCATCATGTATTCACTACATGCTCATATATCCATCATGTATTCACTACATGCTCGTATATGCGTCATGTATTCACTACATGCTCGTATATCCATTATGTATTCACTACATGCTCGTATATGCGTCATGTATTCACTACATGCTCGTATATGCGCCATGTATTCACCCACTGGTCCATCCACTCCACCTGCCACAGAGCAGCATGTGGTCATGGCTGTTGGGTCACTCTGTGATCATCCCATGGCTCTTGGTGCCATTGAAACACCTCTTCTCGGATCGGACTCACATGCCATATTTTTACCCGCCTGTCCATCCACCCTCCACAGAGCAGCACGTGGGCACAGTGTTGGGTCGCTTCGTGGTTATCTCCTGGCTCTTTGTGGTTCTCATCGTCACCTGCAGCTACACTGCCAATCTTACCTCCATCCTCACTGTTAACAACCTCACTCCTCCTGTACAGGTACACTTTTCTTGTACCCTTACATCATGCTAGTCGCATGACTGATTCTTGAGCTACATTTTGCTATTCTAGACTGGGCCCTATCGCTTCACTGAAGGCGTTTCGAGTCGACTCAAAGCCCATGTCAAAGGCCATCCCTTGTGCTTGTGTGTACATGCATATAGGCACACCTGTGTGCATAGGTGCTAGGTGCTCAGTTCACCCTGTTAGCTCCACCAACTCTTCTGAAATCGTTCCTATGGCCCCATGCCATGTCATCTCATCTCACCCAAAAACTCCAGTGCACCTCCCCTTATCTTCCTTTTCTCGTCGCCACTCCTTTCAGTCACTGGCGGCTGTGATCACATCCGGCTCCGTGGTGGGGTACCTCAATGGATCCTTCTCAGAGCAGCACCTCCTGGGCTTCGGAGTTCGCAGGGTGAGAGCCGTTTCCTTCAGCTCCTCCCTCTTTTAAGTGCGTGCAATACCTCTCAAAACTCAGAGCAGCACCTCCTGGGCTTCGGAGTTCGCAGGGTGAGAGCCGTTTCCTTCAACCGTTTGCTCCTGGGCTTCGGTCGTCACGACTTGGCGCTCCGCTGGTTCGGACGGTTGACAGTGCGGCAGCTATCGACACGGATCCGGAACCGGGAGTACATAACCTCAGCTCCAAGGTCTTGTCTTCGGACGAGAAGAAGGGGCTGGGGTTGGGACTGAAGTTCATTCCAACGCCTGCCGTTTCCCTGTCTGGTGCTGTGGAGCTCGACCAGCTCCTACGCCAGATTTCGCTTCGACTTTTCTTCAAGGATGACGGCGGTCGGAAGGGGGACTCGCGCTTTCGAGTGCGGAATCCCGACTGGCTTCCTGATCGGATTCAAATTCCAGAGCAGGTCTTCAAGGATTCGTCATTCGACTTGTCCTTCCTGTTGAAGGCAACCCACCCGATCCGACATCAAAACATCTCGTCTGGTGTTCGACGGGCGTTGCGCTCCATCGCTGCGGATCGACACGTGGTAGTGAAACCTGCCGACAAGAACGTCGGGATCACTGTCATGGACCGGAGTCACTACGTTCGCCTCTGTCTCGACCATCTTGACGACGCGACGACCTACACTCCAGTTCATCGAGATCCTACCGCCGACGTCGTGCGGAAGCTGCGTGATCTGCAAAGCGTGTGGGGACCTGCTTTTCCCGAGAGCCTTTGGAAATTTTTCTTTGACAAACCGCGCGGAGGATGGCGACCGGCGGCGTTCTACATCCTTCCGAAGCTACACAAGAAGAAACTCGCGGGGCGGCCTATCGCAGCTTCGCATTCATGGGTGACTTCGAATGTTAGCCGTTGGTTGGACGCGGAACTTCGACCACTGGTGCTTCAACAGCCAACTTACCTGCGCGACTCCCTCTCATTGCTACTGATGCTGGAAAAGACCGCCTTTCCTAAAGGAATACTTCTAGCTACGTACGACGTCACCTCGCTCTATCCCAGCATCCCACTAAGGCGAGGGCTCGATGCGGTGGGCAATTTTCTTCAACGAGGGAGAATCGTGAATTCTCAACCAGTCATGGCCTTGCTGGAATGGGTCATGATGAATTCTTTCGTGGAGTTCAACAGCCGAATCTACCAACAGACACAAGGGACTGCTATGGGAACTCCTGCTGCAGTATGCTTTGCTGTCCTCTTCATGAGCTGGCTGGACGAGATTCTTTCAAGGCGGTGGTCTGGAACTACACCATTGTGCCACGTGCGCTACATCGACGACGGGTTAATAATTTGGCCCGGATCGAAGAGCGAATTGGAGGAGTACCTGAACACCTTCAACACGCTCGATCCAAACATCAAGCTCACGTGGCACATTTCAGACAGTTCGGCTGACTTCCTCGACCTGGTCATCTTCAAGGGTCAACGTTTTGCCGAGCAGGGTACCCTGGATCTGAAAACTTTTCAGAAACCGATGAACCGGTACCTGTACCTGCCTTTTTCGTCATTCCACCCCGACACTGCAAGATAGGTTTCATACGGGCGGAGCTGAAGCGTTACCTCTTGCGCTCGTCATCTGCTCAAACCTACTTTGCTTCTAAGCGTGCTTTCTTCCAGCGGCTAAGAGATCGGGGTTATCCGGCTGATTTTCTGACACCCATCTTCCAGAGTGTTCTCTTCCGACAACGCCCGCTCCTATTGGAGCAGACTGAAGCTCGCCAGGCACACCGAATTTCTACTCCCCCTGACCGCGGCCCCTTGTCTTGAAGACGCTGTTTACTCCGTTAACAGCACGTCTCAGGCTGGGGGTCCTTTTGAGGCGCCTCAAAAATCGTCTCAACTCACGCGGATTTTATATGGGGAATATTTTCATTGCATGGAGGTGTGCACGTAACCTTCAAAAGTTACTTGTGCGAGCCAAGTTACCAAGGCTTATCGACAGTTCGGAAGAAGACCCTCCTGAAGACTGACACCTGCAACCTTGGGTTTTTACCCACTGCTGTGTTGGCGAATGCCCATTGATAGGCAATCTGGGTAGTTGATAATCTTGAGAATTGTTTTGGAGGTGTGGGTTGTTACTTAGCTCATGCCTAGACTCGTGTTCTCTTATGTCCAGTAGCACTGATGAAGGCTCGGCGGGTTTGATCCCCGTAAGCCGAACATGTTTGCGACCTGGTAAATTTGAGTGAAGAGTTTTTACGAAGCAAATCTCTGCCTAGGATTTTTTACTCTCATTCTTGTTGCTCAAGCGACTGACTTCGCACTGCTGCTTTCCCAAGACCATGAGTGACGACGACCCGTGGGACTTCGATTGGATTCCATCCGACGAGGAAGAAGCCGGTACAAGTGGTCGTAGCTCGGTTAAGCGCGTTCGTGGGGAGGGAGGATCATCACGCTCCGCAAGACACGCCAGGCGATCTGGAGCTGGGAAGAGATCCCTCCACTGGCATTGACCTACGAACCCACTCTACTAAGCAAGCAAGCTGAAGCTCATCCCACCGGCCCGTCGACAAGTCGTCCAAGCGTCATGGCGGAAGCTGCCGACACCTCTCCAATCCTCACCTTTCAAGGGATGGACGGAGTCGGCTGTCAAAAGCTTTCGCGACGACTTCAAGACTTTGCTGAAGGCGAAAGAGAAGCTCAAGAAGATGAAGGATCTCGATGCTCAAGTGTTTTGCTTCACAGCATCCGCACCAAGGCTGTCGAGTTCCAAACGAAGCTTCCGTCCGTTAAAGAGAAATCTGCTGCATCCGTCGCCGCGATTCACGAGGCGAACCAGAAACGGCTGCAGGCGGACTTCATCGCCTCAAAGGCACTGGAGGTTGAAGAGCTGCAGACAGCGGCGAATTCGCACGTCACCGCTCTAGCTGCAACGATGGAAGATTATATTCAAAGCCTGAGCACTAACCCCGATCTGGTGGTTTCTGATACCGCCAAGGAGAAGTTTCGACTGCTCAAGGGGAGATGCATTGCGAAGGCGAATTCCGACATCGCAGCTGCGAAAGATGGACATCGTCATCAAGGAGCTGGATCGACAGCGGAAGGTAGCTGCTGAAGACTTGAAGAAGGCTGCTGCGTCCGAGGAGGTGCATGACATGGAAACCGAGACCGGGATTGAGAAGATTATGGACAGCACGCGAAGCGGATGAACACAAGTTTTGGAGGGAGCTCGCGCCAAAAATTGAATCCCAATCTGATGAAGAAGCTGCTGAAAAATCTTTCTCTCGGAGCACAGGACTCCTCCCGGCCCCCGCTGTTGACTCGAAGCAAAAGAAATCGTCTGCCGGAACGTCGAAGCCCTTCACTCCTGATCCTCAGGAGCGCCTCTCGGCTAATACGGCAACGGACTCGAAGCCGAAGAAGAAAGCGGGGTAGAAGAACAAAAGAAGAACGGCACCGACAAAGACCAGCAAGCGGGTGGCCAGACATCTGAGAAGGCCAAGGGACCAAAAACGGCGGAGGCGGCCCCGGGAAAGGGCCGCGCAAGAACTAACCAGTCACGACTTGGCGCTCCGCTGGTTCGGACGGTTGACAGTGCGGCAGCTGTCGACACGGATCCGGAACCGGGGAGTACATAACCTCAGCTCCAAGGTCTTGTCTTCGGACGAGAAGAAGGGGCTGGGGTTGGGACTGAAGTTCATTCCAACGCCTGCCGTTTCCCTGTCTGGTGCTGTGGAGCTCGACCAGCTCCTACGCCAGATTTCGCTTCGACTTTTCTTCAAGGATGACGGCGGTCGGAAGGGGGACTCGCGCTTTCGAGTGCGGAATCCCGACTGGCTTCCTGATCGGATTCAAATTCCAGAGCAGGTCTTCAAGGATTCGTCATTCGACTTGTCCTTCCTGTTGAAGGCAACCCACCCGATCCGACATCAGAACATCTCGTCTGGTGTTCGACGGGCGTTGCGCTCCATCGCTGCGGATCGACACGTGGTAGTGAAACCTGCCGACAAGAACGTCGGGATCACTGTCATGGACCGGAGTCACTACGTTCGCCTCTGTCTCGACCATCTTGACGACGCGACGACCTACACTCCAGTTCATCGAGATCCTACCGCCGACGTCGTGCGGAAGCTGCGTGATCTGCAAAGCGTGTGGGGACCTGCTTTTCCCGAGAGCCTTTGGAAATTTTTCTTTGACAAACCGCGCGGAGGATGGCGACCGGCGGCGTTCTACATCCTTCCGAAGCTACACAAGAAGAAACTCGCGGGGCGGCCTATCGCAGCTTCGCATTCATGGGTGACTTCGAATGTTAGCCGTTGGTTGGACGCGGAACTTCGACCACTGGTGCTTCAACAGCCAACTTACCTGCGCGACTCCCTCTCATTGCTACTGATGCTGGAAAAGACCGCCTTTCCTAAAGGAATACTTCTAGCTACGTACGACGTCACCTCGCTCTATCCCAGCATCCCACTAAGGCGAGGGCTCGATGCGGTGGGCAATTTTCTTCAACGAGGGAGAATCGTGAATTCTCAACCAGTCATGGCCTTGCTGGAATGGGTCATGATGAATTCTTTCGTGGAGTTCAACAGCCGAATCTACCAACAGACACAAGGGACTGCTATGGGAACTCCTGCTGCAGTATGCTTTGCTGTCCTCTTCATGAGCTGGCTGGACGAGATTCTTTCAAGGCGGTGGTCTGGAACTACACCATTGTGCCACGTGCGCTACATCGACGACGGGTTAATAATTTGGCCCGGATCGAAGAGCGAATTGGAGGAGTACCTGAACACCTTCAACACGCTCGATCCAAACATCAAGCTCACGTGGCACATTTCAGACAGTTCGGCTGACTTCCTCGACCTGGTCATCTTCAAGGGTCAACGTTTTGCCGAGCAGGGTACCCTGGATCTGAAAACTTTTCAGAAACCGATGAACCGGTACCTGTACCTGCCTTTTTCGTCATTCCACCCCCGACACTGCAAGATAGGTTTCATACGGGCGGAGCTGAAGCGTTACCTCTTGCG